ATTCCTGTCCAGATGCAAGAATCTCACCTCAGGTTGGAAAATAAGATGTTTGTCTGCTGCTATTTGCCGTATTTCATCTCACAGCGTGTGTATCAGTGCCCCTCCCCAGATATTAAACACTTCCCGAACCGTGAAACGAAAAATTTAGGCTTCTTGATATTTTGTGATTGTTTCATTGTATTTTCAAATCGTTGCTGAAACTTTGGTTCGCCCCAAACTGAAATAAGATCCGGCGTCTCTTCACCACTCCTCCACTCCAGCGTCTCTCTTCCGCTCCGGCGTCTCTCTTCCGCTCCGGCGTCTCTCTTCCGCTCCGGCGTCTCTCCTCCGCTCCGGCGTCTCTCCTCCGCTCCTCCTCCACTCCGGCGTCTCTCCTCCGCTCCGGCGTCTCTCCTCCGCTCCGGCGTCTCTCCTCCGCTCCGGCGTCTCTCCTCCACTCCTCCTCCACTCCGGCGTCTCTCCTCCGCTCCGGCGTCTCTTCGACCGCTCGTATGTAAACATCCCGGTTCATGCAAAACATGACCCGCTAGAAACTCACTGCTGCTTTGGTCATTTTATTTTATTGCATTTTAGTGAAGTTAAAGCAGCTTCTCTCTACAGGAGACCTGGAAACCGTGATTCAGCTCTTATTACAGCACGGTTAGACTGGTGTAACTCTCTGTATGTTGCCTTTCATCAATCCGCCTAATCCTCATTCTCACTTGTGCGAAATGCAGCAGCCGGATTTTTACCAGGGACCAAAAAGAGGGATCACATCTCTCCTGCTTTGGCATCTCTTCACTCACTTCCTGTTAAGTTCAGAATTTTTATTTATGTATATAAAGCTCTTTCTGGTCTTCCTCCACAGTATATTATTGACCTTCTTCACCTTTACTCTCCTACCAGAACACTAAGATCTTGTAATCAACAACTTCTTCTTCTGTCCCGCGTTGTCGTACTAAGACGAAAGGTGATGGAGTCTTTTCTGTGGTTTCTCCCAAACTCTGGAACAGTTTCCCCTTTTGCGTGAAGTCCGCTTCATCTTTAAATCTTCTCTTAAAACCTATTTTTATTCTTTGTCTTACGGTGTTATTTAATGTGACGCTATACGAGGTTATGTACAGAACTTTGGACTTTGCAACTACTTTTGTCTTTAAATGTGCTTTATAAAGAAAATTTGACTTGATTTGATTGCTGTCTGGAAGAGAAGTCTAATAAATGTGTTACAGACGTCCAGCTGATAAACTAATCCGATCCGAACAGGGCTTAACTCTGCAGCAATCTGCCAACGAGTCATTCAGATCATTACAGCGTTCAGGGAATGTAAAATATTAAGATTAATATTAACATTAACATTAATATGAAAGTAAATGTGTAGATCGTACCTGGCCACCTGCAGCGGCTGTTCGCTCTGCAGCGTCTGTTTATCAGCAGCCAGGTCCCATAACGCAGGAGGAGCCAACCCCGTATCCGACTCCTTAATGCCTGCGCAATCCGAGCGGACGTTTTACAACACAACACATCCACTAACACGAGATCCGTCTGCAGTCTCGTCTCACACGCCTACCTACCTGTGAGCTCGTTGATCTTCTTGAGGAGCTGCTGGATGTCGTCCTCTACTTGCTTGATCTGACGAGAATACGTGCTCTGGCCCTGTACGCCAACAAACGCTTAAAAATCATTTCAAAACAATGACACGGCGCAGTGACGTCTCTAATCAAATAGGGTACTCACGTAAGTCTTTAGAAGAGCGATGTCTCCTTCATCCAGAGCTAAAGACGAAAAAACAAACAAACAAACAAAAAATAAATAAATAAATAAATCAGCTTCTTAAAGAATCTAAAATTAAAATGAATTCATTCCAGCTAAAATTAAGAGGCTATTAACTGGGACGCGTGAAATAAAAGATATCAGGAAACCGGGCCCGTTTCTTTTTTCCCCCTTTTAATCCACAGTTTAGTACGAGAGCGATTTGAATAAAACATCATTATCCTGATACGTAAAGACGTCTTTAGGAAACACAAGATATAAGTTTTTCAACAAAATGTCAGAAAAACAAGAGTGTTGCGTGTTGTTAAAAATTTCAAAAATAAAAATTACCATAATTTTTTTTTTAACCTTAATGGTTACTTTTATTTAATGGTTACAAAAATAAATTATTTAACAGTAAAAGGAGAAGAAAAAAAAATCTGTAATTTTTATTTTAACATATAATTTTGAAGATTCATATCTTTAAAATTTGTTTTAAAAGATTCAAAATAGAATTTAATCTCATCAGCAGTGGCATTTTACTACCTGCCCCTTTTTTTTTTTTTTTTTTTTAGCTAAAAATAAAATATTATAAAGATATTGAAAACAAAACTGAGATAATTTCACAGTATAAAAATAAACTAGTTGATACTTTAATATCTCAAAAAAAAAAAAACAATTTAACTATTTTATAAATTTAAAAATTATAAAGTACAACATTTTAAAATCAGTAATTATGCCAATAAATGTGAATACCTTTAATTATAATTTTTTAAATATTTTCATTTGACATGTGATAACTTCAGAAAGTTTATTGTAACAGTGTATCACAATATCAAAAAAAAAAGAAAAGAAAGAAAAAAAAACAAACAAAAAAAAAAAACCTTGATGCAGCGGCGCTTTAGTCTTTCCTGCTCTCTCCTCCAAACCTTCATCTTTCACACTAATACTTTCACGTAGATCGATAACGAGCCGAATGAGTCTTGGTCGTAACTCAGGGTCGTATAGCCGCATTGCATTCTGGGACTTTGAGTCAATGAATTCTACACTGAAGTGACGTCACTGAGACACACAAGCCGGTAACTTCTCACGAAAATAACGTGAAAACCTCATCAAGTAAAAGATCAGCAGCAGGATCACTAAACCCATCAGAAATATTTGTATATAAACATGTTTAATGGGTTTCAGGGTGAAGTTTCCCTTTAATGAGACACAACCAGGTTCATTAACTTTTTTTTTTTTTTTAAAGTGGGGTGTAAATTTTTAGCTTGACAACAAAGAAGACCTCAAGTGCTCCAATATTTTGAATAAGAACCAGGTCATAAATTGAATACTTTTGTAAATATGGTCTAAAGTAATGTACACGTTTCTATTCCGAAACACACGGGGGGCACAAACTTTTGCACCCAATAGTAACTAATGCAGTCGTTTGGTTTGATGAATTAGCCGAGTATGCTAACGTCCTATTTAACCCTAGTTACCTGGTAACAATCAAATATTAGTCATTTTTCATATCTATATAAACAGTTAGAATTATATTTTACTTCTTATACCAGGAAAAAAAGAAATAAATCATGGTAACTATGGTTACAAAGCGCTTATATGTATGTTAGCAATGTAGCGGTAAATGCTAGCTACGTAAAATGCTAATATTTTACATTTTTAAACAAAATTTAAAATATACCTCGAATTGGCCCGTCATCTTTATCCTCCTCTTTGATTTTGCGCTGCTCGGCTCCTAAATAATCCGGCATTTTTATTTATTTATTTATTTATTTTTATTAAGCTTCTCTTCAGTGGCTGTGGAGGCAAGATTACACAGCAGGTTTTTTAGCTAGCGTACTGCTTCACTTCCGGTTGACTTCCTGTATGTAGGCTGTGTAAATATCCGGTTTAAAAAATAAAAGCCATTCTCTCTTTCAATTCATTATTACTTGTTCAATGTTTCGTTTAGGTCTTTTATTTTGAAAGACGGTTACTCTTTCGCCCCTCCTGGAGTCTCGCTTACCTTTTAGCCATGTTATTGTTTTCTTCTGATTATTTTTTTTTTTAATTAGCAAAATCTAAATGTTAGATCTGACTGTAATTATATTTAAAAAGTGTTTGGTGTGTAAATGCGTTAATATGCAGATGAATTTAATGAATTGTGTAGTGCTGAGTTTAACACAAGCAGTATAGGTGCTTAAAGGAAATCCAGTGCATTCATCCTACATGCATGTTTGGATATTTTAGTGTCATATGGTGCTGAATTTAATTTATTAACTGAAGAAAACCTTTATTTTTAGTTGCAAAGATGTAGCTAGACCTGGCAGTGCCATAAGTGAGAACAGCCTTTCAGGTAAGCATTGCTGTTGTGCTGAAACTGACTTCATTTACAGGTTTTAAAATGTTTCAGATGTTAATGCAGTGTGTTATTGCTGAGTGATGTTCATGATTTGTGTGTTTGCATGATGCTGCACATGTTGATGGACTATAAATTGTTCTCAAAAGCATTGGCCAACCTTAAAATAAGGCTTTGCCACCCCATAGTGATCTTTTGGCCCCCCCTTGGCCACCCCATGTCTCAGAAACATGGACACACCACTGACTTTTCCACTGTTTGTGATGATCTTGGCCATGGATCCTTTACAGAGCTCATATTGTACAAGTAAAGAATAACATTTAAGCAATACGTCACTCTGAAACCCATTAAATATATTTATATTAAATGATCTTATACCTTGACTATTTATATTGAATTGAATTAGTATTTATTAGCAGTTGTGTGATGCGCTGAAGTCACAGGAGGACGTTGTTACTGCGAACACATTTATAATGATCAAAGTTTGCTGTAAAAATAAATAAAAGGAGCAATCATATGAATGAGAAATCCAGCGTAGGAGTAGTGGAGACCTTGGAGCAAACTCTGGACTCCAAGTCCCAGAATGCATTGTAGCTACACACTCTAGAATGCAGAGACTTGGCGAGATCGTTATGTAGTGATCTATGAGATGGCGAGCGTGATGGCGTGAACATTGACGTGTTAGAAGCTGATCTGTTTGAGCACGGAGAGCTGGAGAGGCTAAAACATTAAAGCGCCGCTGCATCGCTCTGCTCTCTTTAGGTAGAGATGAAGCCAGGGCGAACGAGAATGGCATTGTGGGTAGGAAAATGGAGGCAATTTCAACAGGCCAACATGTCAATGAAGGACTTCATTGCAAAATAAATGCCTGCTGTTGAAGAATTTCTATTTATTTCTATATTTATTTCTATAATTTCTATATATTTTTGGGTCCCTGGAGGACTAGTGGTTAGGCGACAGCACTCTCACCCCCGCGACCCCGGGTTCGATTCCCAACCAGGGCTCCAACACCAGCCACTGGGGCTGCGTGCAACAGTGCGCTCTCAGTGCCGGTCCCAAGCCTGGATAAAATTGGGGAGGGTTGCGTCAGGAAGGGCATCCGGCATAAAAACCGTGCCAAATCAAATACCAATGATCCGCTGTGGCGACCCCTAACTGGAGCAGCTGAAAGAGGAACAACAACATTGTATATCTATTATCTTATCCTTTACTCTGACGGCATCTGCTGGATTACTCTAAATGATCTCTCACTGTTCATGTTCAGTGACAATAAAAGTATCTTATCTTAAAGATTAATATGCAACTTGTTGGAGTTTTCCTTTAATGTGTCATAGACTTTTTTTTTTTTTTTTTTTTTTTAATGCATCCGTGTTTTGAGATTTCTTCTCATTTCTGCTCAGAATGAACGACATGAACCTCAGTCCGGTGGGCATAGACCAGCTCAGCGTGCCCTCCGTCAGTGCCAGTCATCTGGGCCTTCCTACCTCGCCCACCCACAGCCACAACCCCATCACCACTCCAGGTTAGAGCACTCAAGTCGTTATCCAAGGAATAAAAAAAACAACTCTGTGTGTCGTGCTGTTGTAGGAAACTAATGATGACTCAGTGATGAAGCGGAGTTACTGTTACAGCACCCTGAAGCTGATTCTTTTCTTCATTAGCTTCAAGAGAGAAAAAAAGCGAGGCTGGTGAGGGACCCACTGTTTATAGCTGCTGTAACGTAACTCGTTTCACGAACGTTAAATGTAACTACAGTGGGGCAAAAAAGTATTTAGTCAGCCACCAATTGTGCAAGTTCTCCCACTTAAAAAGATGAGAGAGGCCTGTAATTTTCATCATAGGTACACTTCAACTATGAGAGACAGAATGGGGGGAAAGAATCCAGGAAATCACATTGTAGGATTTTTAATGAATTAATTGGTAAATTCCTCGGTAAAATAAGTATTTGG